AGACAGTGAATAGTATTTCTGTGTGCGAGCATAACCTTTGCTCTGATACCAGTTATTGGGAATAAATCCCCTAAAGTAATAATATTCACGGTAATAAAGGCGGAATAATAATGTAGCATTGAGATACGGTAATCAGCAAGAATAAAAGAGTGACAATGACACCAAGATTTTTACGTGAAAACCTTTCAGAATAAGAAAAAAAACCACGAGCCCGAGAGGAGCAACTGATATAGCTATAGAAAGGAATTTTACACTTTGTAGGCCCGAGTAAAATACTCCAAATTAAAGACCACTACAACACTCAGAAGATATAACCCTTTTTTGACATTCCTACCTCACTACAATATCGCTCACACTGTCTATTTTTCTCACAGAATATTTTCTTATACCCTATCTGTGATGCCGCACTCTTTCTTTCTCTCTTTTGTTGGTGTGTCTGAGGAAGTGAGAAACCTCTCCTTTTATAAGGCAAAAGAGTCGTGGGCTCAAAGTATTCTACAGGAGGATTAACATCCTCCTCCACACATTCCAAAACATGGTCTCCAAGAATGAGCAATAGCAAAGTATTGTTATATAGGCACATGCCTATATTGATGGGATGGACCCTACACGAAGTCACATCGAAAATTAGTTAGTTTTGACCCTCGTACTCTGAATCGTGTCATTGCCACATAAAGTGAGACGGAGGAAGTACTGTTATAACTATATTAAGAATATATGAAGGAGATATATGTGTAATTTCTGAAATTTTAAGGGTTGAATGTAGCTAAAAATTTAAAAATTTCATGAGAGACATGCTATATATTGTCAACTCAGGACTTGGAATTGGCAAAAATGCTGATAAGACCAGGTAAGTTTTTCGCAGAAGATATGTCGAAGGAAGGGCTGCTGAGACAAGACAAATATGGGTCGGTGAGAAGAGTTTACGTGTTGTGCCATGATGATCCAGTTATGGAAGAAGAATTCCAAATTTATAATATTCAGAAGAGCCCTCCTCATGAAGTCAAATATTTTGCCAATGTTGGCCATATGGTCATGATATCACAACCTCACAAGCTTTCTCTCTGTCTGCAGGAAATTGCTGACAATTATCATTGAATTTACTTTTTTTAAATACCCTTATAATGAATATAAAGTTTTAAGCTTTTTTTTTTTCAAAAAGTAAGTTCCAAAAATAAAATAAATGTTGATCATAATTAATTAGCTCAATGGAAAAAATATAATGTATCCTTCCTCATATAGGTCTTTAATGCCTTTATTTTAATTAAAGTATATAGAAAACAATATGATAGTTTTTTCTTGCTGATGATGCAGTACATTTTGAGAAAATTCTAATAGCCTTTTTATCACTTTTCCTCAGAATATAATTGTATTTTCTTATCAAGAATTTTTATTTTTTTTTACTTGGACTTGTTTTATGTTTAGATTTGCTATCTTTCACTTTATTAGGTAGAGTTAATGTTCTACAAATTATTCTTTATGTATTACACATAAAGAAAAAGAAAATTCAAACAGATATAACACGAAGAAGAAAGTGTGGTCGCTATTTTCCGTATTTCTTTTCTCTTTCCCCTTTTTATCCTTTCTTCCTTTTTTTCTTGCATTCCAAAATAAAGTTGGCCCCTAATCCAAAGCACTCGTTTTCTTGAAAGTATTATATTTGTTTGACCCAAAATTTAGATCTGGGTTTAAACAATTAGATTTAATAAAATAGAGTCAAGTTTAGCAAATATTAATGTCCAAAGATATATTAATTGATTTTGTAGTAAGATAATACGTATATTATCTAAGTAGCAATAAATGTTGATAACACTAGCAATATTCAATGATCCAAAAAGTAAGGGGCTAGCATTAAATAACAATAAATAGCAATAAATGATATTTAAGTAAATAAGAACATATGAGTCACCAGGAAAGGATAGGATCCGTGGATATTCTATCTGACAATGATGAATGATTGATGGGCCTTTGAATATTCAGATTGTTCTTGGATCATGTGGAAAAGTTAGGCAAGAATATTAAGAAAAATGTATATTTTGTATATTTGCAACAAAGCAAGATTCTACGGAGAAAGTCAATGTGTTCTCTTACTAGTGAATATCTCTCCTTCCATAACTATGTCTCTTTCTATTTATAAGGTAACATATGCCTAAAAACACTAATAGTACAGGTCCCAGAGAATATTCTCTGTGAAGTCTTATCTAAAACAAGCCGTTATTATTCCTTTTTAAGGGGAGTGCTCGTCCTCGGCCTCGACCTGTGATGACTCCTTGACCAAATCCTTTGTCTCTCGCTAGATCACTTCGACCTTGAACTCACCTCTTGCTGAAGACATACTGAGGACACGTGGAAGCTTTCGAAAGCCTTCTTAATGTTGATATGGTCTAAACATAACTAAGTTAATTTTTGGCCCATACAGTTAGTCCCTCCGCTCGTTGAGGTCGCCCTACACATGCCTCTCACGTGCGTGTGTGTGTAATGACTAATATACCCTCATTTAACTATCTCAATTCTCAATACTCCCCCTCAAGCAGGAGGGTGGAAGATGTCTAACACACCAAACTTGGAGACTAGGAAGGAATATTGTGCTGCAGTCAGTCCTTTTGTTAGAAGATCTGCTAGTTGTAAGGAGGAAGGAACATGATATGGAGTAATAAGTCCTGTCTTGATTTTCTCTTTAACAAAGTGGCAATCTATTTCTATGTGCTTTGTCTGCTCATGAAATATTAGATTTCAAGCTATTTGTATTGCAGCTTTATTGTCACAGAACAATGTAATAGGTCTGGATACTCTAACTCCTAAGTCTTCCAGCAATCCTGTTAACTATGTAATCTCAGCAGTTGCAGCAGCCATACTTCTGTATTCAGCTTCTGCTGAACTCCTGCTTATTGTAGGTTGCTTCTTTGATTTCCAATATATCAAAGAATTTTCCAATTTAACAACATATCCTGTCACAGATTTTCTAGTATTAAGGCATGATGCCCAATAAGCAACTAGTTGATCAATAGGTCCTGCCTCCATCAGTAATCCCATGCCTGGTGCCCCTTTGATATATCTCATTATTCTCAATGTTGCCTCCATATGTGACTCTTTGGGCCTTTGCATGAATTGGCTCAAAGTTTGTACTGCAAAACTTATATCAGGTCTAGTGATTGTTAAGTATAACAACCTTCCTATTAATCTTTGATAAGCTGAATTATCTTTGAGCTCTAAATCTCCTGTCTTCCCAACACATGTATCATACTCCACAGTTGTCAATTTTTGATTCAACTCTATAGGAGTTGCAACTGGTTTTGCACCACTTAAGCCTACCTCTGAAATTAGTTCCAAAGCATGCTTTCTTTGATTGAGCAAGGTTCCTTTCTTTGACCTTGATACCTCAATTCCCAGAAAGTACCTCACTTGCCTAAGTCCTTAACCTTGAACTTACTGTGTAAGACATTCTTGGCATCATTGACTAAGTTGGAGGAGCTCCCAGTAATCATCAAATCATCTACATACACCAGTATGATGACTATCTCTCCTCCTTGCTGCTTTGTGAATAAGGAATGATCAAAAGGACTTTGTTTGTAACCATTCTGAACAAGTGCATCAGTGAGCTTTATGTTCCATTGCCTAGATGCTTGTTTAAGACCATAGAGGGATTTTATAAGCCTGCACACTTTCAACTCCCCCTGTTTATGAAATCCTTGAGGTAGCTGCATATAAACCTCTTCATAGAGATCCCCTTGTAAGAAAGCATTACTGACATCCATTTGAAATAGAGGCCAACCCTTGGCAGCTGCTATACTGAAAATGGTCCTGACTGTGACCATCTTTGCTACAGGTGAGAATGTGTCATGGTAGTCCAACCCTTCCTTTTGATTATAGCCCTTAGCAACCAGTCTTGCCTTGTATCTTTCTACCTCTCCATTGGCCTTGTATTTGATCTTGTATACCCACTTGGAACCAATAGCTTGCTTCCCTGCAGGTAAGTACACTATCTCCCAAGTTTGATTATCTTCAAGAGCCTGAATCTCCTGTTCCATAGCTGTAATCCATCTGCTATCAGTGGAAGCCTGCTGAAAGCTAGTAGGTTCAACTTCAGCTGAAAAAGCATGCATGTATGCTTGATAACCTGCTGTGAGATTAGCATAAGTAAGGGTGTTAGTCAATGGATATAGGCATTGGCCAGAGAATTTCTGAGTAGTTTGGTAGTCTTTCAACCAAACTGGGGGTTTAGATGTCCTGGTAGTCTTCCTAGGCTCTTGATCACTTCTAACCACAGGTATGCTATTGTCAGGAGTAGCATGTACCTCTGACTTAGTGTTTGGAACTAAGTCAGTGCAGGTATCTTGCTCACCATGCTCTACCTCTGCTGTTTTTGTGTTTTGATCTGTATGGTCAAGGTGTAGGATTTATGTACACTACAAGAGAACATGCCATTAGCTAGAAACCAAAATCTTAGCTAACTTACCAAGATCCTAGCTAACTTCGCTTTAGCTAGGAAATTGACCTTAGCTAAATTCCGTAGCTAATATGCTCTTAGCTAAATTTTTGCTAGAAAATTATGTTATCCGTTGCTAATATAGCTAGGAATATTTGCTTGGCACTAACCCCTCGCTATCATTAGCTAGGACATGTGGTAGCTAAATTCCATGCAAACTTTGTTTGGTCAATGTTGACTTTGTTGAAGCGTAGCTAGGCTATTAGCTAGGGACTTATTCCATGCTAATATTTGCTACGGCTAGGCTAGCTAAATTCCAAGCAAATTTTGCCTGGTGAGCGTTGATTTCATTACAACATAGCTAGGAATAGCCCTAGCTAAACTTACAAACGTTCTAGCTAGATTACTAGTATGATTTTTGTCTATAGCTAATTTGGTAGCTAATTTGATAAATATCCTAGCCTATATTTGGTTAGGCTTGGGATATTTTCCAGGCTAAATCTAGCTAGGAATAATTCCTATATTATAAATGATGAAATACGAATGTAATTTTCTACATAATTCGACATGAGACGAATAAGTAATTAAATTCATTAATTTGAATGTAAGCATAATCATAGTACTATTAATCCTAGAACAACGAAGTATATATATGTCTATTGGTAAATAAAACATGTCTTAACTTAAATAATTAATAACATAAAGTCTACTATTCTAAGATGGGGGACAACCAGAGCCGCTTGGTGGTGGTTGAGAAGGTAAACCAAGCATCTCACGCACTACAGCACGAGCCACAACTTTTACTTCTTGCATATCCTCCCGAATATTTGCTTGCACTCGTGCCAACATGTTCTCCATCCGTTGCTCCATTGCACGATCATGAAGTTGCTGAAATTCGGGTGTTTCAAAAACTTGTTGAGTAGGAACATTTGGAGGATTAGAAGCACTAGAGGATGCACAATTAGTGTCCAATGAATCTGCCAGAAGACAATTTTTGGGACCAAGACCATATATTCTTCCTTTTTTTGCGCCTCCAACTGTTTCAATCCAAGTTTTCAATAGTTGCTCATCTGGTATAGTTTTCAACAAATCCACAATAGTTTCTTCGCTAGTTTTTTCTCCTTCCTCATCTCCATTTGTTGCCATGTTTCTTTCCATCTCTTCATCACCTACTTCAAAACCTTCTTCATCCCTTGAAGTTGAAGTCTCACCTACCTTCTCCTTAATAATATCTGTAAATGTATTCTGAAAAGAATTATAGTAATTAGTCATTACATAGAATAGAAAAGCTACAAGGTAGATATAATTTGTGTGAAGCAGTCAGATTGTTTTGTAATGAAAGAACATTCTTGGGACAGAAGAAAAGGACCCCTGTAGGCATATCTAGCACATAATTGGTAGCTCTCCTGCAGCTTTAGTGTATACATTTAACATGCACATAACTTATACAAGTGTGCATCTTCGTGTGTGTGTTCAGTTAACATACTCAAAAGAAAATTAATTACCATGTTTATGACTAAAAAAGGGTCATACTAATGTCTTAAGTTACATATCTACTCAGATCACATTAAAAAAATGGTGTGATATACTAATATTAGTCACTAATAAGAGAACTTGCGTAGTGGTCTATTGAATCTAACTCACTTTTAGTTATCCAACTGGTCACTGATCTTTTACTTCCGACTAGTTCAAGGACATTCATCAACTCATCGTAAGGAAAACATGCATGTGACAATAAGTTTTCAGTAAAGATATGTAATTTCATGTACATCTCTGTTGAAAAGCTTTGTCTTGATCGAATAACCAAAACAAATAAAAACCTGAAGTTCACGTAATCCTCTTGGATATCGCACCTGATTTCCTGCTGTTATCCCTGGTTTCTAGGGGTTGTTATTGGTGATGTCCAGATATTATCCATTTTACACTGTAGTACTTGCTGGAAAGCCAAATAATGAACCTTAATGGATCAAGCTAACACTATTATGTAGTCAGTACCATACCTCACTCAAGATCCATTAAGCTGACACTATTGCAGTCAGTACCATACATCACTCAAGATCCTCTGTCCCGCTGTTTTGCATCGTAAGCTTAGTTCTGATAGTTTATATAAGCAGTAGTAATATTCTTTTATACTAAGCCGAGGGTCTACCGCAAACAACCTATGTATGGCAACATCACTCCACTTTGGCAAATCAGAGAAGAGATCACTCAAGTGCAGAATATGACCTCAGAGTTGTGTGGTCGTCTGTATAAGTTCAGTTTTAATCTGATTTTCAAGTTCATATTTTGACCCCGAAACAAAAACCACATCTCCTACATCCTAGACTTCAACTTTACGCAAATGATGAATAGGATTTATAATTATCAGGTTCGAGAAGGAAAAAAGTTACTGGAGAATAGTCAGGTGGCTGGGGTAGGATGGTGGAGGAAGGGGGAGGGTAGGGGGTTTGGACCAGGAGGCTAGGAACCTTCTTCTTGAAATAAAAAACTCAGAACACAGGGAATGTCATAAGTGACATCTTATATAACTTTGAAAACCACATATTGCTCCAGTTTGGAAGAACCGAGAAAAGGGCTCACCGATGGCCATGGTGAATGAGCAAAAAATTCACCATGCAAGAGCAACACCTAGTCCAGGGAAGCAAACTTCAATCATAATTGGGAATAATTCCAGTCCAACCAGTGGTAATTCATCAAGGGAAGTAATAGGAGGAGGAAAGAATATACTAGCGCCCATGATTAAGGAACAGAATGTTCAGTCTACAGAGGTGGAGACAAGCATAGGAAAACGGATATTGGCTACGGCTGAAAGTAATTCCAAGCCAATTGATGCTAAATCAACAGGGAAAGTACATAGTGGAAGTCCTAAGATACTAGGGATTGAAGCTGAAATGGGTGGAGGTAATTGTAAAACAAGGGCAGGCGAGGTGCAAAGAAAAACTGAACTGAACCCTATAATGAAAGCATGGACTCCGGATTTCAATCTATACGAGGAAGTTTTAAATACTATTCCATTATGGATTAAGTTACCAAACTTGCCTCTTAATTGTTGGACCATGAAGTCTCTTAGCAAGATTGGTAGTGCGCTTAGCAACCCTCTATATGCGGATGACTGTACAACTAGCTCTGCTAGAATATCATATGCTAGACTACTTGTGGAGATGGATGTTACAAGACCCTTGCCGAAAAGTGTTAAAGTCTAAGATCCTAATGGTAGAGCGTTTGAACAAGAGGTTGCATATGAATGGTAACCTGCTTACTGTGTTACTTGCCTAAAAATTGGGCATACTTGTGCTCTTGAAAATAACCAAAAACCCCAAATTCCCCCCACGAGAAGAAGAAATGATAGACCTAAGCTAGTTTGGAGGAATAAGGAAACAGGAGTAACAGTGAATGTTGCACCTGTCAATGTCCAACCAAAGCAAATGAATAAAGAGAAGGCAGGGGAAGATCCTGCTCACCAAAGAGACCATCAAGATTCTCATAATCCAATAGTAGCCTAAAACTCCAGTTTCTTAACTCATTCAATAACTCCATGATTTCAACATTCCAATAACAATAACATCACTTGTAGATTAATAATCAATTGCCACCATAAGAAATCATGCCAAGGGATCACGATACTTTCATATACGGCAAAGACAAAGACAAGATTTCTCTAACACAGATATAGGCAAAGACAAGATTGATAATTAGAAAGGGGAGAAAGTAGAAGATTCAGCAGGTGTTGCACTGAAGAAATGAGATAAAAACGTACCCACATCCTTTCTGACTTTCCATATATCCACTTCTTTTCATTTTTGGTTCTGTGAGTCTTTAGAAATAATTCATCATTACGGAGATCTTTCCCCGTTAGCTCCTTCTACAATCATTAAAAATATTGTTAATTAACAGAACATATCATAGAATAAAATTAGACTAATACTAATTAATACTAAAAGATAAAAAAAATACATGTCTTCTTCTGTACTCAGCAAATGCAACCGATCCTCCGGTATGTAAGGAAGGACCTTCTCCATTATTAGATGACATTCTGTTCTTCGAGTTGATTTCTGATTTCTTTTAAAATTCTCAGAGTTCCAATATTGCATCAAAACATCCCAGTGATCTTTAGCAATCCATCCCGGCATTTCTTTTGTTTTTGAAAATTTTCTTTTCTGCTTTTCCCAAACTATCACTTAACCTTTCGCTCCCCACATGCTCAAAAGTCCTTCGAATAATAAATTTGTCCTCACTAGGAAAAGAATAATTTTTCTGCAATTAAAAAGTAAACATTCAGTTTGGTATCGTTTATCAAGTTAAGTCAATTACAACAATTAAGTATAATACCTCGAAGTCATTGAACCATCTATCTCGTACATGCTCCGAAACTTTGCTCCAAAAATGCCATGATCCAGAGAAGCTTTTTTTAAAGGCTATTGTTACATTCCGAATAGCTTCATGTGGGCAAAATCTACAAAATGATTAATATTACATTTTATTGGAATATAATTAAATGAAAATGAATTTAACCACAACTTGTATAATTAGATTTACTTACGTGTCTCCGTTTACTTTCAAAGATCTTATGCCACGAGTAGTATCTCGTCTTGCCAGTGGATTACTACTTCCATAAGATGCAAGTGTTTGTTCAGCAGAAACATCTTGAGAAGGAGTTTCTTGTTGAGAACCAACATCCTGATAAGAACGAGGTGCTTGTTGATGACCAACATTCAGAGAAGCGGGAGTTGCTTGTTGACCACCATCATTTTGAGAAGCAGAAGTTGTTTGTTGAGCATTGACATCTTGGAGACGAGATAATATGTTGGTTTAAACCAACCTGTTGAGATGTAGGGGTTGATGGTTCACTAATATTGGCATGAGAAGTATTCGGTAGTTGTTGGTAGCCTTCTCTCCCTTTGTTAGACATGCTCCCACGAGCTCCCCAACTACGCTTAGTGCCTCTTCCCCTTGTCATGCTTCCTGATCAAATAATGACAAGAAGAATAGAATAATAATAATAATAATAATACACTAGCCATACAGAACATATAAAATATAAAAATTTGTTCTGTTGGTTTTGAAATAATACAATTGCGAATTCAGCTAGTAGCCTAGTAGTAGGAAAATGTAAGGTTTTGAAATACAAAATGTAGAGAATGATATCATAGATTTGAGTTTGGCCTAGTGTTGATACCCAATTTTTCCCTATGTATTTTTTGTACCCAAAATACTTCCAAAATAGCATATTTGTGCATATATAAGCACACCCATGAGTTTTGATATTTTTTGATGATTTTAAACCAATTTATTGCCTATTTTTATACCATAAAATCCAATAATTATTCCCAAAATTTGTCATTTTGGTGAACGATTTATTTTATTCTCATATTTACATCAAAACATAGCTAACATGATTTTTGCATATTTTTACAAATTCATTTGGTATTTTTAAAACTAAATTGCATATAATTGGAATACTAGCCTCTTTAAAGATTCAATTGTAATTATATTTATAAAATTGACTCCAGTATTTTCAATTTGATAATTATGTATCATTAATCATTTTATCACATTTGATTTATTTCCAGAAATTATTTTGCTATTTTTTTATAAATTAAAACAAGGGAAAAGTGGCTATTTAAGAGTTAGCCCTTTGCATTTCAATTTTAGCCCGAAATTAACCTCAATCTTAAGCCCAAATCAGACCCAAAATTCCCTGCCCAATTTCTTAATTAACCCGACCCACGGCCCGTTTATTTTTATCCGCCCGGCTCCCTTTTGATCCAGGCCGTTGATCAAAATGATCAACGGCCACATTTCCTCCTTACCATTTTAATTCCCAAACGACCCTAACCCTATCCCCATTCTCCAAATCCGCCGCCTCTGGTTCCTCTCGTCTCTCTCGAACCCTCTCAACCTCTGAAACCCTAATATCCACCCACCTCCAGAATCCATGGCTAATCTAGCCATGGACAACCTCTACTCACCATCTCCTGCTCTCACACGCTTGCTCATTGAAGATTCGAGGCTAGACCTCGAAGGTCTTCATCCAGACCCTGGCCGGTTCGAGTTTCTTTGGCCGTTTCCGGCTTTGCTCCGGCGTATCTCAGCCTCTCGAGCCTGGATTCGACCTTGCTAGCTCAGAACCATTCTCGAGACTTCCAAGCCTTCTCGTCCTTTTGGGTTCTCAGAAACCCTAGCCTAATCGAGGTTCCTTTTCGCTTATTCGTCTAGATCTATGCTAGATCTATGCTGTGTGTGCCATTTTAGAGTTTTTCCCCAATTTTCCCTTTTCAAAACTGTTCGAATCCTATTTTTAGGGTTTTCTAAATGTTTCTGATTCTTTTACTCTTTTTATGTGTGTTCATGCTCGTTGTTTTATTCCTTGTTATGTTCAAGCCTGCTCTTGTGTTTCTTACTTGATCTTTTACGGAGATTCTTTTACCTCTTTTGTTCACATGTTAGCCTAGGTTATTGACTCGCTTTTTCTTATGTGTTTAAGCTTATGCTTTGATTTTGTTTCTGAGTTCTGTTGATCATGCTCTTGCCTACCTTCGTCTTAAAACTCGTAATTTCCTCTTACTTCTGTTTGTGCATATCTGCCTATCTCTGTGACTTTGAACAATTCCCTCACCTCCGACTCCATGTGAAACCCTAAGATTTGGGGGGGTTTTCTTTTCTTTGAAGTGAAAGACACTAGGGTTTCACTCTGAAACCCTAGGTTTACAGACTCTGAAACGATAACTTCTATTCACAGCAGTTGCCCACAAATTTCGAATACCGATAGAAAACCTCTTATCAACTAAGGTCTTATTCCAACACTTTCATATACTGCCAACGATAAATGAAACACGCAATAAACCGTAACCATTTCTCATATCAACCATTCATGAAACCACTTCTCCTTTGGCAAATACCACATCAAATTTCTGAATTGAAGCTCGATATTATCCTTCCAACATACTGAAATTGAATTTGCTTGTACTCATTAAAGATCCCAACAATCTCATCTAATCAACACCCTACTCTGGTGACATTACACATTAGTACAAGACTAAGCACAACTCGCACAATACGCGCACCAATAAGCAACAGTCCGAACATACTCAATTCCTGAAAATGACGCAAATGAAAGAGCTGTACTTCTAGCTCTCCAGTACCACCACAACACAAAACTGAGAACCCGCCTCCAATCATAGAGACAGAACACACAAATCTGCTCGCAGTATCATACCTCCACATAACTTCGTCCCAATGCGTGACCTCATCCAATACGAACCGCTAAGGCAATAAGCCACCCCGTACATAACCAAAAGTCTCATATGATGCCACAAAGTGCTGATAGGCTGCCGATTAAAATGCGGTACAAAAGGGAAGACGAACTCTGGAAGGAACTGCCTAACTCACGCACTAATATGTGCTTTCTTTAGAAAAATAGGAAACCAGGCATACAAAAATAGCATATAGAAAACTATACTCAATATCACACTGTTGCGGCGCGCAACCCGATCCAACTAACACACTCATGGCGGCGTGCCACCCGATCCACACCCAACACTCACCTAAAGAGGTGCACATCGAGCTAAATTGCTCATTAATATAAAACACCGATTTTCGGTCACAAGCACGCTAAGTGCACGATACCGTCCCTAAGGGGACATATAGCGCTATAAGCTACCAAAACTCAAGCTCAACTGAGGTGCGATATGCAATCTGAATTCAAGAGCCATTTTGCTTATAAACATCATTTCTACGCGAATCCTCAACCTATAAGCATTTTCTCAAACCGTCTCACAACTCACCCGGCGCAGTGTATCACTGCATAACATATCTGACAACAAAATAACACCCTGACTCCCCCTCCATAAGGAGCACATCACTTAATTGAACCCGTTTGGCCCGACATAGAGCCTATATTCACATTTGAATCCATCCACCGACCTCAAGCCGATTCTGATCGCACTGAACTAGGTTAACTACCTTTCAAGGGTCCCTAACAACTCATCTTTCGCTCGTAACACATAAGGGCATCCATCATAGTCGGAGAAATCATCCGTAGTCCACAACTCAATAGAATGAGTGCCCTCCGGCATATTTTCTCAATTCAACGATATTATCACAACCTTCATACTTGGTTCAAGTCTTCAATCAATCAAGTGACTAACTGCCATACTTACAAAGTCTTCCTGTGGGACCTCTACCACAACCTACCAACGAATGACCGGGTCGTACCCCCAGACCACCGACCGCACTAACACTGAAAAACGATCAAAAATCCTTAACCAGGGTGCAAGCCTTTTCACAAAACACCGTTCTTAGGTGACGCTGAAGACAATACCGATTTACCTTAAACGTCGAGGCTTCTGCCCTGCTCATCCGGGCTCGTGACATCCTTGTCCATACCGAGTTGTTACCTCTATCTTCACTTCAAATTCCATACCACTCATTGCACCCAACATGTCAACATACGGTAGGGCACGCTCTTCACCACAACTTCGGGACCATTATTAGATTAATACTTCATTATATAAAACTCTCCACTTAACTCACTTCAGGGGACCATAGCAACACACAGGTGAATTCTCATAACCGTAGAATATGCAAATCTCTAAGTAGTGATCCAACCCACCATGACCCTTTCGGGATCCGCCTACATGTAACAGGCCCATAACATTGGAATACTCCTGAATAACATCATTTACGACGGACGACAGGCCTCACCTGAACCGCCACAAATCACATGCGTAATCCGATCATGCTGAAGGAATTGATCTCTACCACCAATATGCCAACAGATATATGGCTAACCAATCCATCTTCTTTCGACTTACCCCGATTGCCCTAGGAATAATAGTAACTGCATTCAACATATAACACCTTCCATCCGCACTCACCCCGAGTGACTTTGAATCACGAGACCATGCCGTCTCACATCCCACGAATCACTTCGTACCTTCCAACTGCTACATCGTAAATCAAAACATCCTAGAACATTCTACGAATTCTGAACCATAACTTGCACCTTCCTGATAGTGCCACATAGAAGCCCATAATTGATATAGAAAAATTACATGTCTTGACCTCTCCCAATGGGGACTCAGTTCTAATCGCATATACAAATTCCAGATACCCAATTGACACATGCAGAATCTCGACCACATTAGTACCATTCTCGAGAGTCATTTACTCCATTTAACTGCATTTAGCCTGGTCAAATGAACAGAACCACCCGTGCCTCGTTAGCACTCCGACACCGCAAGATATGACCTCGTCACAATACACGCATGCATCTTCCTACTCTATGCACCAAGC